TCACTCCATACCCACTAATTCCAAAGTACCATTTTATAAAGATGTTGAAACATGGGACAAGAAGCGATAAGGAAACACACCTAATATTTTTTCCCTCGGGGAATCGAACCCCGGACCCCCAAACTTGTGAATCAAGAGCTTTTGCCCCAGACAATGGGCCCCATGGCAGGCTCTTGTTTGGTCTAAAAATTTCGTACTGTTTATCCTTTTTTAAAGTGTTGTTTGTTATTGTGGTGAGTAAAAGCCTTTTATGCCCTTTTAACTTAAATCGGGAGTATAACTTTTTTAGATTTTTCTAAGTGACGAAATTTTGGGCTCTAAAAAAAACTGTTAAAGCAGAGACATTAATTTTACAAAACCAGACAAAACCCCATACGTATCACACTGCCAGCGAAATTAATATTTCTTTTTTTATAAATAAAATTTAGCAAACAAAATCCCTAACGAAAATCTCGCCACAAAAATATCTCACGGTAATTCCCCTAAATACTTTATGTAGTCCCTACAAACCTACTAATTCTCACAATAATTAAATAATTAAAAAACAAGCAGGAACCTAAACGCTGTCAAAAATATGTATGAAAATGCGCTCATGTGTTGTTACCCATTATTCCCCCTTATTACCCTTATAACCCATTATTGCCTTTTTGCCCATTATTACCCATAGCCCCCTTATTACCATTATTAAATTTTATTCCTTTTTATTGCCTTATTACCCATTACTTTTCCCCCATTATTCCCAAAAAAACCCCATTTTAATTTTTTCCCCTTTATTACCATTATTACCCTTTATTGCCCTTAAATTTACCCATTATTCCCATTTTACCCATTTTGAAAAATTTTCCCCAAATTTTTACCCCTTTTATTGCCCATTTTACCCATTATTCCCATTATTACCTTTTATTCCCATTATTCCCCATTTTCCCCATTATTCCCCATTTTTGCCCCTTATTACCCTTATTGCCCATTATTACCCATTATTACCATTTTTACCCATTTTTCCCCCCATTATTCCCCTTTTATTCCCCATTATTGCCCTATTCCCCCATTATTCCCCATTATTACCCATTATTACCCATTATTGCCCATTATTGCCCATTATTACCCATTATTGCCCATTATTACCCATTATTACCCATTATTACCCATTATTGCCCATTATTACCCATTATTACCCAATTCCCCCTTATTGCCCATTATTACCCATATTGCCCTTATCCCCCATTTATTACCCATTAGCCCATTATTCCCCCATTTTTTACCCATTTTTGCCCATTATTCCCTTTTTAACCCATTATTGTCCATTATTACCCATTTTCCCCATTACCCCCATTATTGCCCTTATTCCCCCATTAACAAATCTTTTGAATCTTAACTACTCATCCTACTCAAGACAGAAGGGGTCCCCCAGCCCTAAAAAGGAAGCGACCCTACTGAAACTAAAAAAACACGATTGCTTTACTCTCAAAAATCTTGGAATAAAAATACGAAAAACAAATCTACTCCTCCCTCCTATCCCACAACATACTAAAACCCCTGACATTTTGGGGTTTGAGGCCAAAAAAAAGCATGAATGATGAAATTGTTAAATGTTGAATTACTGTAACGCAATTGACAAAAATGAAATTCTGGGCTTTTCATAGCCCTACGGACAGATTTGATACAGTCGACCACAATTTTTGCCCCTAAACTAGAACATTAGGGGGTCAGAGGACACTCCCTAACCCCTAAAATCTTTTTTAGGGTGACCCCAGTATGTGTACACAAATAGCTGCCCTCCAATCCCAAAACTGAGTTGTTGGAGTGCCACGGGAAGTGTCCTAGTCCTTACTTTTTCTTATTTACAAAATGACCTCCAAATGCATCGAGACTTCTTAAACCGTTCTATTCGCAGAGGGACACCACTTATTTTCTCCCACCCAAACCCGAATACTTAGTAACACTGTAAAAACAAGATATTTAAAAATATAAAACTGGATGAGCCAACAAACTTATTCTCAAAATAGACAAAACCTCTTCATGCTTCGGAAACAGAGCATCAAATATCCCGCTAAAAATATCGTAAATGGTTCCCCCTTTCAAGCACACTGAGGGGAAATTTCTTGGTCTCCACCCTTTACTGTAACTTAATTTCAGATCCACATCCCCCATATAAAATAAAAAAGTTTCCAAAACAGTAGGACATTTCAAGATACATTTCTATGTACCCCACGGGGAACCTTACCTTGTATCACTCTTAATATCCCCTTTCCTCACCCATGGGAGTTGTGCTTGGGGACTACACGGCCCTCACCTCAAAAATTTTAATAACCCAACAATAAGCGGGAGTGAGAAAGTCACAAAAATCTTGCGCCCCACAACACCCCTCCACCCTCTTTCAAAACTGAACTTACTTAATATACTTTAATATACACACTTATCATTGGCCTACTACGTATACAGAACATTAACCCCTATCAACCATCTGCTCAAATTTTCTCCTAGACAGCTTCAACAGAACACAGGCATAACACCAGGGCAAAACACTTTTTGACATCCCGTGTGCCCGTCTCACACTATGAAAAAATCCAATGCACATAACAGGACCCGAAGATCTGGAACTCTTTGCCCACAAATCAGTTTAGGATCATACTCAAAAATCATCTCATCTCTCAATAACAACTCCCCCAAATATTTTATTATCCCTTAAGTTTTAAGCCACATTTACAAATTTATAAATGTAAGTTTGCAATGAACTTAATTACGAACTTAAAAATGTATGATTGTATCATAAATTGTACTACCTTATATTAGCAATAGAGTAAAATACTGAATATTTGTAATCTACCACTGTTCATCTGTTTAGACTTTAGTAATAGGTTAAGTAGTAGGTTAAGTAATAGGTTAAGTAGTAGGTTAAGTAATAGGTTAAGTCTGCCCGAAATGCCTCGGCATAATAGTGGCTTTCTTTGTACCAATCAAATTATCATATATAAACACACACAATACACATTGTAACTTTAGTAAAGACATTTATATTTTAATATTATAAGGGCGCTGGATCGAATGTGAATATGACCCCCTTTACACAAGCGCTATATGACCCCTACGAGTTTACCGCTTTGCTGTAATTAAAATATAACAACTGTGAACGGCCTGACTCTTCAATGGCTGGTGATCCATATGAAACAGACTGAACTTTAGGCACAAATGTCGTGGTTCAGGACAACAGTTGGAAAACTCACCATCTGGTCAACATTATAATCTTAATGGCGATGTTTTTTCCTCAAGGGAAACATCACTTGATGTTAATTTAAGGTACCAGGTGCCAGTTTTATTAAGCTGATTTTTGTGAAATAATTTGACTTTTTATTTTGATCAGAAAAAAGTTAGTGTGTGACTTTATATAATTATCTTAGGTTAATGGGGTTTAAAATTTTCTTTTAATGTTAAAAAACATCTTTTGTGTCCCCTTTTATATCAATGTTTAAAAATTGTTCATCATGTGCACTAAAACCTACATAAAACTTAATTATTTATTTACCGTATTTACTCTCTTAAATTTTGGTTTACTTGGAGGGGAAAAAATAATTGATTTCGGTCTGTGTAGGTCTAAAATTTGGTTTTTTTTCCGGAAACCGGAAAAAAAATTAAATACTGGATTTCATGTAATAATTCTGAGTGTAGCATTTAATTTGCTTAGAGTTTTCTAAGCTGATAACTTCATAATGCAACTTCTAAGCAGCTTCAAGCTTAATGAGCTTTTGTATATCATGGTATGATTTTTTTGGTTTCTATGAAATGTTTGAATTAGATCTGAGCTGTCCCAATTTCCTAATTTCCATTTTGTTGAAGGAAATTTGGACATCAGTTCCATTATGATGACTTCATATCTTCACCTAAAAGTAAACTACAACTGTTACAAAATGCGATGTCCATAAAATACGGGACATCTTCCGAAATACTAGAAGGTCAGCTTGACGATCTCCTCTAGATCTAGTTTGTTTTCTGGTCTCGTAACAGTTGTCAAATAAGACCAAATCCCAGTTTCCCTTAATTGGGGAAATTTAATAGTATTTTAAATTTCAATGGTTGAGATGAATGGTTCAGAAACGAAAAGTTGAAAAATTAGCCCATGTGCAACACCTTGGGTGTCTTTTTTGAGGAAATGTTCACCACACAGTGGCTTATATCAAAAAGGAGAGGTGAGAACAGGGGGGTTTGAGGTAATCAGTCCTCAGCTGAGTCGTAATCGATCAAAAGAATCAGAAAAAAGTGGAACTGCTTAGAGGGCTGTTCAAAAGCGCTCCCATGTGGTGATGGAAATATAAACACATGCAGTATAATGTGATCCTTTATTGACAACGTTTCGCCCACACTTTATACTGCATATGTATTTATATCCCCATGTGGTGATGTTGCCACAAATATTCGCCGAGCACTTGCTTTGAGTAGCATCAACGTTTCCACCATAAACACATCTTCTGTCAAAGACCTCACTACGAAACGAAGCCCCACGTCTCTAACTTCTACAGCAGGCGTCTACACCATCTCTTGTGGATTCTGTCCCAAGAAATATGTAGGCGAACAGGCAAAGATCTTGCGGTCCACCTGAACGAGCATCGAAGTGCCTGTAACAGAGACGATTTAAAGTACGCCTGTGTCCTTCACAGAGACGCCGACGGTGTCTAGAAGCCTCAATAATCGCCGTCAGCACAATAGAACGTAACAGTGGAAACCACAAAATTTCAAAAACATTTGCATACATGATACTTAAGCAGGCTAAGCACCACCAACCCAACAACACAGGAGTCACATGATTTCATCTACCCGTCCTCACCCCAACATGGCATTCTTCAGGTCAAAATGCGCCAATCACACCTCATTCTCCACCTATATCTGATGTCTTTCTACCTCATTATCACATATTTGGCTTCACCAAAGGAGTAGGTACAACAGAGTGCATAACAACCCTGCTAAGCCAGATTGCTGATAGTAACAAACAACCTAGTATCGTCGTTATCGCTTCTCGGCTTTCTTAAGCTAAGATCAAAGTGTAGTATCTGTTCTTATCAGCTTGGTATCTGATATGATCCCTACATGGGGTCAATGATATTAGACTGATTTTTTAATTTTGGCGAAGTGCTAGGGGCTTGCTCCACCTTTGCCGCGGATTGGCCCGGTATTGCATTACTTCTGGGATCAGTCCATTTTTACCATTGTCCTCTTCGCTCTCGGGCCGAGAGGATCTACTGCGCAGACGCTCCTAAGTTGCCTGTCAGTGGCGGTGTGAGGAGGTGGTGTTTGCGCCTCTTTTGACACCTCAGAAAAATTACTGCTGTCAACATGGCGGTTTGTCATAGGCGCAGGATTAATACAGTTGGTATTGAGCTTCACCGGAGGACGATTTCGCCTAGTTCAGCGCAGGTTCTCTTACCTAAGATCATCAGAGAGACGTGTGGAATTCAAAAATGGAAATTATATGGATTTGGCTTTAAATGGAGCACATAGAAATCTTCGTGAAACTGCTCACTGCACGTATAGAATCGTTGGGTTTTAATCGTTTCCAGGAGTGAGTCTTGATGTTACACTTGCTATACTTGTGAAATGAGTGATTTTTCCCGGGCATTATACCTGGATTAAGTTATGTAACTTCCCCTTTTGAGGCGGATGAAGCGGGTACAGAAAAGTCTTCGAGAAATATGGGACAGTTAATTTTGCCCAGAATGGTATGTGGGTAGCAGGTGCCTACGCAGGTTTTCAAAAGGGTACTTTTAACCTTAAAATGATACTGAGACATCCCATCCCGTCTTACGTTTATCTTCGGAATTCAGGAGACAGGTCATGGTTTTTGTACCCCGGGAAACGAAGGGTACGTTTTGCCTATGTGATGAGTATGACCACATAGCTGCAGAATGTAAAGGGAAGAAAAGACGCATGCTTGACCTGTGGTAGAAGACGCAGCCCTGTCTTACGGGTGGCAGGTGGGATCAATTACCTGAGGGAGGGCCCTGGGCGTTCGTGGAGTGAGTGGTGGAGCAAGCTTTTAGGACTGGGGGTGAGTCCCCCTCTCAGTTCCCTGCCCAGAATCTCCTCCAGTGACTTTGCAGGGATGGTACCACGGGAGGAAGTGTTGGAAATAGAGGAAGAATGGAGGAAGTTTTGAAGACCTTGTCACCCCTGAGGAGGACGTTACATCTGAGCAAGAAGTAGCTGGAGAGTTATCGCTTCAGTTTGTCAACGTATTAGAATTTGGGGAATGATGATGTGACGGAGACGTCAGTGGGATTAATAATCCTTGTAAGGTGGATGTTGGGTCACCGTGAGGCTTACCAGACCATGTTATGGGGGGACATGATTGTAGCAAGGAAACGGGCAGATACGTCAGACTCTGATGATGTACTGACACCAGTGCAGAGGCCCGGGAAGTAGACTGGTGTGGTAGGAGAGGGAGAGGTGGTGATGGGGGAGGTCATGATAGAGACATCGGAAGAAGGGAGGGGGGAAAAGAAGGAAATTTTGAAGATAACATGCAGAAATTCTAATTCTAGTGATGAAAAGAGTTTGGGAGAAAAGGCAGGGGTGGAAAATTTAAAAGGGCCCTTTCCGGTGTATGACTGTCAATGTTAATGGCTTTTGTGCAGAATAAAAAAAGAATGGTTAAGTATGTTTCTTTAATAAAAATAGAGTGGATGTTTGTTCCTCCCGGTACAATTTTAAGGAGGGTAAGGTGTTAGAGGTAGCAGGTTATCAAGTAATGACACTGCCAACTACCCGTTTAAAGGTGGTGTAGATATTTTAATAAAGGAGACGAGCCCGTTTATTTTTCAGAGAAAGTGAGGGGGGGGGGAGGGAGAGAGGGTGTTGGTGTGGATGGGTTCGTGGATGGGTAAGCGTGTTTTCTTTTGTAAGTGTGTGTGCGCCTGTGTAGAATAGCTTGCAGGTAAGGAAGGATATTGTGTGCGAGGATCTTGTCTATTTCTTGCGTGCACTTCCGGAAAGTAACAATAGTGGGGGGTGACTGGAATGCGTTATTAGGGCGGCTGATGTAGAACCAAAAGGGGCAGGACATATGTTGTAACTCTCAGGGATTTGATGAGGGACGTTAGGTTACATGACGCGTTTGAGGGGGTGTGGGAAACAGAACATACTTTTGTTAGGAAGGGATACGCAGCGAGGTTAGATAGAGTGTATCTTCTCAAGGAGGTGTTGTAAAAACTTTTAATACCGTTGAGGCGGCTATGTTTGATCATAGGGCTGTAGTGGTGGAGTAAAGGGTGGGGAGGAGCTGGTGGAAATATTTTAGGACTTATTGGGGGAAATTTAACATTAGTGTGTGTTGAGTGTTGAAGAAGGGTTTGGAGGGTTTTTCTATTTATGGAAAAGAGCTTTACAAGGCAGCTCAGGAGGTGGATGACATTGTAACATGGTTTTGGGGGTTATGTGGCTAAGAAAGGATAAGAAAGTATTATGTGAGGAAGAGTAAATGTATATACAAACAATTTTAAAATATGGGCTTGTGAATTTTTTAGAGGATCGATTAAGGGTGTTATGGGCAGGGGATGGTTTGGTGGTGTTTTTCCATGGACGAATAGTTGACATAAAAGAGAATTGCGAATGTTGCAAATGATCGTTTCAAGTGGTAAGGGTGCAAGCAAGGTTGAAGAAGTTTTGTGGGGGGACAAACTGTCGTGTGTGTGTTTGGGCATCAAAGCAAAGGCAGGCGTGAGGCTATCTTTGGGGATTAGGGTAAATGAGGGATGGGGTCTAAGAGCAGGGCAGGAGATAAGCAATTGAAGGGTTGAAGGGATATGCAGATAAGTGGTATGAAAGTTTTCTGGACAGTGGGTGTGGATGATGTTGGAGTTAGACAGGGTGTGTACTATGCATGTGCAAATTTAGGTATAAAGTATAGGACGGCTTGGGTGGGGGTTATTATGCCAGAGGAAAAGAGATTGCTTTACAGGGCTGGGAAGGGAAAAGCCCCGGGTATTGATGGTCAAACCCGTGGAATTCTATTAACAAAGCAATTGGGGCGCTGATAGGAAATTTATGGGTTTTGGTTATTTATTGTTGAGGAGAAGGGTAAGTTGGGAGATAAGCAGACATAAGAGTTTGGTCTGGTCAAATGGTTTAAATGATGTGGGGACTGAAGGTGTTTGCAAAATTTAGGTAATAAAGGTAAATGTTTAGTGGGGATCGGTTCAAACGATTTTGGCTTGCCAAGGTGATGTTGAAGGAACGGGATTTGAGGTTTTTGGATCAAAGGGGGTAGGGGCGGTTAATGGCTTTAACTTGGCAGGAGCCTAGTTGGTGGAAAAGGTGTACTGCAGGTTCAACTTAGGAGACACGGTATGGGAAATAGTTATTGGGGAATAGTGTATGGGGACAAAAGGGGTCAAATAATGGGTGTATGGGGGGAGGGAATTTGGATGGGTTTAGAGGTCTCAAAGAGGGTGGCCATGGTCAAGTCTTTTTCTGTTTCAGACCCTTTATAGAATGGTTGAACGATTCAGTAAACCGGTTTGGGGTGGGTTTAGGGAAAACGCTTTGCCGAAGAATAATAGGTTTTTTAAATAATTTGGGTGTTCTGGTTCGTGATAGGATGTCTATGAAGTATTGGAAGATGTTGTTACAAGTTTTTCTGAAACGTGCCCGGGTATGAGGGTAACAGTGAGAAGTCAATGATCAAGGGGTTGGGCATTTGGAAAAGGGGGGGGTAAGGTGAGTTGTACGGGTTGTTAAAAAGTGTGCGGTGTCGCTAAAGATTTGTTGGTATTATATTTAGGATGACATGGATGTGGCGCGTGAGGGAAAACTCGGATAGGTTGTTAGAAAGGATCGTGGGAGTCGGGTGTTTTAAGGCCCCAGCATCTCACTCTGGCACACGTGTAATTGTCGTAAATGTTTTTTGTATAGTAAGGTTTGGCTGTTGCGGCTGTTTTCCCCAATTACAGGGACGGCGATTGCGGGAATTTTGAGAAGGGTGTTTAAATTTTTGTGGGGATCAAGTTGTGATTGGTTAAAGAAGAGAGGTTGTTATGTTACCTGTGTGCCAGGGTGGGTTGGGATTGATGGATCTAAGACGGAGGGCTAAATGTGGTTTTTTAAATGGGAGGTATTGTGTGTGGGCGGATGGCGGGAAATTTTAGAACAGGTATATATGAGGTTGAAGAAGTTGTATGGAAGCGTTGAATTGAGGGGAATGTGAAATTGTTCTATGGGCCTTGTTGTTGGTTAGGGAACGGGGGAAACTTTTGGGAATTACGGGTTTTGTGTTGGTTTGGTGGGTAAGTTGCGTTGCCCTTTTGAGGGTTTGTTTCCCCATGTACTCGTGGGAAACATTTGGTATAGATTTAGCAAGCTGAAATATTGCCTAGGGTGCATGACGTTTTTGTTTCGTTTTTTGCATGGTACCTTGCCGTCAGGAGCCATGCTAAGAACCAGGAGAGTAGTAGGGGGGGGGGTGGTGTTTTTGTGGAGGGGACGACACGGCGTTCCATGTAGTTTATTTTTGTGAAGGGTTAGAAGACATCAGGGGTTGGTTAGGTAGGTTGGTACAGAGGGTGGGAGGGAGTGGGGTGGCGGTTCTGCGTGCTTTAAGTCTTGACATGGGTGGTTTAGAAGAGGAAGTCATAAGAGCTTTAGATTACATCATGGTGGATTATATCTACATATCGTGGGTAATGAGAGGGAAAGGGGTTAGTGAGGTGCGAAGGCGCGTTCTCGTGATAACGTTTTGTCGTACGATGTGTCATAACTGTTTTGTTTGTGTACATGTATGCATATGCATGGGTTTTCTTTTTTTTGTGAAATCAGTTTTTTCTTTTGAGTTATTCTTTAAATATCGTTTTGAGCCTTTGTTAAACGTTAGGCTCTAGTACATTCCTAATATGGGTATGTTAATGTTGTTTTAAAGTTATATATGATAGGTTAGTACTCTGTTACTGGTAGTTGTTTTGAGACGTTTTCTTGTAAGCTTTTGTTCTATGTATTGCCATTTTTTCAGAGAGGTTATAGAGCCATTGGTTCTGAGAATTTTATGTTATCATTTTAAGTCCATTTATATTCTGGAATTATGTACTGCTGTAATGTTTTTAAATAAAATATAAAAAAAAAGTATCGTCGTCCTCGACTTTGAGAAGGCATTTGAGCTAGCCAGCCCCACAGCAATTCTAGCAATATTAGCTCGGAAGGGAATCAAAGGACACTTCCT